TAAAGTGAATATTTTATTTGTGGCAGTTTATTCATATTTTCAATTCTGAGGCTGCTAATGATGTTGTAGACGTTTTAAGTTATACTTTTGGCATGTTGTTATTTATGCTAAATACAGATATAAAAATCAGATGTTTTGCTTTTTCCTATGAAACTTGTTATAAAAATTTATATTCAGTATCTAGTGATTATCACGTGTCATTGCTATCATTCCTTTAGCAAAATAGTAGAATTTCTTGACCAAAAAAGGTAAGACTTGAACATATTTAAAATATACAGTGAAATCAGCTATTTAAAGTATAGTCAATATTCCAAAGACTTTGTACTGGTGATTTATTATAAAGAACTTTTAAATTATTACTTAATCTCAAAATAACTATCTTGGAAAAGGGAACACCAAGACTTTTCTTTGGGGTCCATATATTAATAATATACATTTTTAAGTTTAAGAGGCATGCTGTTTATTCATTTCAGAAGTGACTGGAGAAGGCCGAATTATTATATAACAAGGGTAGAGAAAGCATAGACTTACCGATCAAAGAAACCCACCAGGAAATATGCATGTATTATTTTTTATAAATAATTATCTTTTACCTGACCGCTAAAACCTGGTGATAAAGGAAGACGCTAACCTTACGGAAAACGAGATGCCTGTCTGCTCTTCACTCCCTCAGTCACTCTGTGTACTTACTGAGCCGAGAATGTGACCTCCCACACCGTGTTCTAGTATTGAGGTCCTGAGTGCTACAAGGTGGCTTGGGAATATTTCCTCTATTCTAATATTTTTGTTATAATAGAAAAAAGAAATTTGCCATGCCAAAAATGTATAAGGGTATAGTTCAGTAGTATTAACTATTAGGGGACTTGAAAGAGTTTGTGGAAATATAAAATTAAAGTATGAGCTTATTTTACTGTGAGAAAGTTTTGAAATCCATGCATAGATTTTGTGTTTTTATTTTTAAGGCTTTTTGTTGTTTTGTTATAGTTGTTGTTTTTCCCTTGCCATAGTGTGCGTCTGCTCCCCGGAGAGAGACAGTGAGAGGGAAAGGAAACTGAGAAATCACCCCTCAGGGGCGACAGCTACTTCGCAGTTTCTTCTCTTCTATTCTCCTCTTGGAATTCTGGGCATGCACATACATGTACCCCGTGTGATTTTCAAGCTACCAGGTCTGGAACTGGAACTGCAGTCTACCATGTGGGAGTCCAGTGCCATAATCACTATGCTACCTTCTGGAACCATGCATAGTTTTTTATAATATGCACTTTCCATCACTTTCTGTAGACCCCTATAATACCCACATTGCTGTGAAACAGCTCTAGAAATTTTTCATCTTACAAATCTAGAAACTATTTGGCATCTCTTCTCTCCCCTTTCTTTACAACCCCTGGTAAGCCCCATTTCAGTTTTCATTTCTAGGAATTTAACTACTTTACATACCTCACACACATGGAGTTAGATAGCATTTGTCTTTTTGAGACTCACTCACTGAGCATAATGTCTTCATCTGTGTTGTAGCATTTCTCAGAATTTCCTTCTTTTTTTTTTTTTGGTTCATTGCCAGAGGGCACATGTACTCACTAGGTGGGGGGCCAGGAGGGGGACATCCATTTCTTTTAGAATGAACTCAGAGGCTGATAACATCGCTTACAGCAGTATCTCAAACTTGATAGAACTTACGTTGAGAAATACAGTTTGTGATTTTTAATTTTAAATTACTGTTTTTTCTTTTTTGGAGAGGTTTTTGCTATAGGGCATGTGTGCTCGCCAGAAAGAGAGAGACAGAAAGCAAGAAATCACCCCCCAGGGGGGATGGCCACATCGTAATCCCTTCTCCTCCACTCTCCTCTTGGGATCTTGGGCATGCACGCACATGCACCCGGCGTGAGTTTTTGCCACCAGGTCTGGAGCTTGAACCACAGTCGACTACATAGGAGTCCAGCAACATATCCATTATGCCAACTGCTGTTCCCCCTAAATTACTTTTTAAATTTAAGTTTTTTATTTTTCTGCAAACTTTTTTGAAGTCTCATATTTCTCTGTACAGTCTACTATGTTGATATGGAGCCTACTTCTAAAGAGTGCTTTCTATGGATGAAAACCACTAAGAAATTTATTTCTAAAATTTATGTCAATTTGATTCTGTGTGACTTTTTCTTCATTTTTGTAGCCAGTTTCTATCTTGTTGTGCCTGTACAATTCATAAGCTCTGTGTTAGGTTCTTCTTAATTTCTCCCTAAACTGACTTTTTAAAAATTAATTAATTTATTTTTCATTTCATTTTCTTTTATACATTCAATCACATTATTATTTGTCTTACAAAATGGATATTTCAACAGGTGAACATCTCTCCCCAACACAGTTGACAAAACCACAAAACATCCTCAACAGACAATACCGCACTTCCCTGTGACATCAATACTTTGCCTCCTTATTGAATATGGAAGACTTACTGTTGAGTGAAACAAGCTAGGCTATGAAGGAGAGGCATTGTATGTTCTTGCTTAATACATACCGAGTGTCCACACTCTGACTGAAACTAATTCACTAGAGGATATAGAAACACAGTACATAGATGTAAATACCAGATATAGTGTGTGTGCAAGAGGAGGGTCTGATGAGGGACATTTAAACTGACTTTTTTCTTCTATTGATTTTTCAGAAAAGTCATGACACATTTTTGCATAGGAAAGTACGGACTTTTCTGATGACCCAATGTTACTGGTGAAATAGTGGTTTCTGCCTTCATGAAAGTCAGTTTTCACCCAGAATGGCAGAAGTTCTCAATATTAGATGATTAGCGATTCCTACCAGCTGAATAGTCTCTTGTTGCCTCTGCATGCCTTGCCCAGGCTCACCCCGTGGGACTAAGCACACAGTTGCCATAGGTCTTCCTACAGTTTGTGGGAGAGGAAGACAGAGCAGCCGTTCTGAGGACAGGCCGCAGGTCTAGGTGGTTGTTTGTGGGAGGCATGACTTGGGTCCTGTCATTGGTAGCATCTGCGGTACTACACCATTCAGTGCTATAAACCTGTTCGCCAGTCAGTTTTTTCTTTCGCCCTTCATTGAAAGTGTTTTGATAAGTGGTTTTATCTTCCTGGCATTGAGTCTGTAAATTTTAAACATTTCTTCCAATGTGATTAAATTTGTTTTATTTTCATGTCAGGTATCTAGAGTCACAGATTGCGCCTTCTTTTTTTAAAAAAAAAAGTTTTAAAATTTTGCTAGAGGGCAGATGCACTTGATGGCAACAAAGGGAGAAACAGAGGGAAAAAGTGAGAAAGCACCAGGTGAGGGGATGGCCATGCTGTGATCCCTTCTCCATTTCTCCTTTTGTGATTTTGGGCATGCGTATGCGCATGCTGAGCGTGTGTTTCACACCACCAGGCCCAGGACTCAAACAGCTTAGTCAGCCTTGTGAGATCAGTCTTTCTTGACCCTCATTCCACTCAGGCCCCGCAAACCATACTTTACTTATTTTTTTTCTTTAAAAACCCTCATCTATTGCTTTTAAAACTGTATCTTTTGGGGCCAGCCAGGTGATTTTTGTGGCTAAGATGGCTGGATCTCACATGGCCAAGTGCATAGTTCAAGTCTCAGACCTGGTGACTTGGCAAATACACCAAGCATGTATGTGTGCGTGTCCGAAGTCCCACAAGCAGAATGGAGGAGAAGGGATTCCAACATGGCCATCCCCCTGCGGGGTGATTTCTCAACACCAATCCCAGCGAGTACACACACCCTATAGCAAAAACACAACAACAACAGAGAAGTTTCTTTTGATGACACAGCAGTTTTAGGAACATCTATCAATTTAACATTGTTTTTTCAAGATTCTCTATTTTTCGTTATTCATATGCCTTCTTATAATAAAACAGCAAAATAGTAATGTTAAAGTCAAATGACAAATCTAAAACTTAGCATTAATTTTCTGAAAGGTTAAAAATTCCTTTATAATCTAAATTTTTCATTTGATGAGATTTGGGCAAAACCAGTTTAAGTTTTAGGGTTTATATTTATTTATGTATGCAACAGGAATATTGGAAACTTGATTGTTGATAATCATATGATAGTATATACAGAAGAAAAATTTACACATTTAATCTGATAGTTACTTCTAAAGTCATTTGAGAGATTAAATCGTAATCATACCACTTTTTAGTAATCTCAGGTATTCTACTATGCATCTTTTTTTCCCTGAAATAACCCAATTACTATGACATGTAGCTTGACTATAGCTTGATGTAATGCATGTGCATGCTGTGGCTGCAAGCTGAGTAGCTTCAAACATAACACTGAATTATATTACAGCACAAATATTTGCATCCTCCTGGAAGGTAAGTACAATCTCATTGGAACCACTGAAGGAGAGTATTGGTTTGCACCTTAATGTGGAACCGTTAGCTGGTCTGTCAGATCATCCCTATGTCTGCCAGACGCTTGATTTTTTTACTGGTAATTTACAACTTGTGACTTAGTGTTGATTTACATTGTGTTTAATTCTTTATGCTAACTAATTTGGTTTAAGGTAAACTATTAAGAATACTAACTGTAGTGTGTTCAGGAAGTAAAACAATAATGACTATATTTTCTTTCTCTTCTTTGTAATTCTACTGACCAAAGGTTCCATTTCTGAGCTATTTCAGAAACTTTGAATTAGTTTAACTAACAGTGCTCAAACTTTTTTATATTATCTAATGAAAATGTTTTATATATAGACCTAAGGCTAAGTGATGATTGAAGAATCTCTGAACCGAGTTATTTCTCTAATTAGCATCAACATCCCATAATATTGTTAAGAAAACAAAGAAGGATGTAACAGAGCACTCAACAAAGTGGTTTTCGTATCTCTCCCCCTACCTGTTTTTTTACTTCAATCATTGTAATCTTATTTTTTGTGTGTATGCTTAATTGTAGTTAACTTTAAGTTTTACGTAAAGACATGAAATAAATACAATGAAAATAGTACTTACTTTCATAAAACTTTATTTTTTTGTTGTTAGTTTCTTCACTAGTTGAAGAAGGAGAGAAACAGAACAAACGTTTTAGGCCATCAAAAATGTCTTGCAGAGAATCTGCCCCATCGAGCTCTTCCTCACCACCAGTAAATCCGGAGTCACTGACAGTCAAAGAGAAGTTCATTCCACCAGAGCTCAGTATTTGGGACTATTTCATAGCCAAGGTAATAAAAGTGCCATCCAGGTCAACACTTAAATAGTCAAATGGGAATGAAGGTGTTTAAGTGTAAATGTTGATGATTCCAAATATTTTGCCACTGTGATTTGAAATTTTTTTCATTTTTATCAAGCTACGATCATCTGTACAAATTACCCTAAAATATTTTGACCATGTTTTCAATAAGTTCTTAAGATAGTTTTTTGATAAAGTATGACTTTTGCATTTTAAACAAAACAAAGTTCTTAAGATTAATCAGAGAACTTGGTCAACCAAAAGCAACCTTACTTGGTAACGTAAAATACTGTTAACGTACTTGATTGTGAATACGGAATCAAGAACACAAGAAATCAACTTGTCTGGGTCATCCCTAATCCCTATTTGTTCTTTTTTTACACTAAAGGCAGTTTTGTCCTCTTATGACATGCATGAATTTCAGTTACCAATGATTGATTAAATAACATTTCCTGAACAACATGGTTCAAATCCACATTACCACATTATGTTTCTCATGAGTAATTTCAGAAAGTACAAACTTCCTTGCTAGCTCTTCATTCCACAGATTACTACTGTGTAAGTAACAGATGCAGCTCATGGTCAGTGGCCAGTTACATCAGTTTTTTCAGTTTGATCATTTAGCACCTGTTACTCAATTCACACGGAGACATCAAAGCATATAGTTGTTTTACTTCTGTTTTTTTCCATGATAAACCCTTGTGATATTTTATAAAAATGGATAATTGAAGGCACTGGACCAACAAAGATGAAAGTACATCAAATAAATGAAAAGTGTTTGTACTGAGAGTGAACTTCATGGACTTATAGAAAAAACAACAAACTCTGGCAGTGTTGACATTGCTGCCATTTTAAAAGCTCTAGATGTGCAGCCATAAGAATTTGTTGGTGAACTTAACAGAAATGTAGAAAGAATTGTACAGAAAAAAATGAAGGTGTTCCATCGACAGTGATTTAGCAAAAAATAAAATATAAAAACTTTACATTAAAAAGACTCTACCTTGAAAATGCAAAGAATAAAATCCTGGAAGCTGATGCAAACTTAGAAAGCAGTATGACAATTTGCTAAGGCATAGAAAAGATGCTTGCTTCTTATGCTAAGTGACAGGAGAAGGAAGTCAACACTACATTTGAAAGTTATTTTTTCTTTCTTTAACAAAGAAATAAAATACTTTCTGCACCAGCAGTTAGCGTAATGGCTATGTTGCTGGACTCCCATGTAGTCAACTGCGGTTTGAGTCCTGGACCCGGTGACTTAAACTCACGCCGGGTGCGTGTGCATGCATGCCTAAGATCCCCAGAGGAGAATGGGGGAGAAGGAATTGTGGTGTGGCCACCCCCCTGGTTCTGTCTCTGTCTCTCTCTGTTTGTCTGGCAAGCGCACACGCCCTATAGCAAAAATCTCTCTCTCAAAAAAAAAGAATACTTTCATTTTCAATGTTTCTTGCTTTTCTCTTTAGGTATTTATTGTAATTCACGACTGATATATAATTATTATACATCTTTATAGGGTACAGAATGGTCTTTAAAAACATGTAAACAAAAGATGTCATAAATTAACAAAGATAATCTTAACATAATCAATGAAAGCAGAATTTGTAATTTTCTCATAGAGGACTATGGAAAATAATAGTTTATAATCCAAAATAAAGTCCTGTGGGTATCAATCATTAGTTCAGTTGAGATTATTAAAATTGTACATAACAGTAGCTTAATAGGAAAAGATAAAAAAGCACTTTTACTCACAATGAGTTCTTATAAGACCATAGTACTGTACTGTGCATAAAGAAATAAGTCCTCAAAAAAGCAAAAATAAAACAAAGTTGGCAAGAGATGTTTAAAGGACATGGTAAAGCCGGTGATTTGGTGATTTATAGGCTTTACAGAGTTCTTGGTTTTTAATGTTTTTTAATTCACTCTAAGGAAAGAGTTGACTGTAATATTTTGGACTTTTCCTGTATTATCTAGTTTTATACAATGAGTAATGGTTATAATAAATATATAAATAGAAACCTGTGGAGGCAATTGTCTACCAAATAATAAGTGGATTTATGTTTAAACCTGCTTGTGTGTAAAATAATTAGTTGAATCTGCATTTAGTCCTGACATTCAATGTTGTTATTAATATGTGTGAACTTACCTTTTTTTTCTAGTTGTTTTGTGTTCTCTTACTTCTGTCTGTTCCTGGTATAGTAGTCCCTTAAGTATTTCTTGAAGAACTGAATTTGTTTTGGTGAATTCTTTCAGCATTTGTTTATCTGAGAATGATTTTATTGCTCCTTCTCATATGAAGGCTAATATTGCTGGGTATAGTACTCTTGGCTGAAATTGCTTTTCTTCCAGAGTTTTAAATATATCTTCCCATTCTTTCCTTGCCTGCATTATTTCAGCTGAGAGGTCTGATGTTAGTCTAATCCCCGGGGTAACCTTTATAAGTAATCCAGCATTCGTCTTTTGCCATTTTTAGAAATTTGTCTTCTATTTTTACCAATTTGGCTATGATATGCCTTGGAGAAGATTTTCTTATATTACATCTAATTGGTGTCCTTTTTATCTCCTGGATTTGGATGTCTGCATGCTTCTCTAAATTTGGAAATTTTTCAGCTAATATATTATGAAAGATGTTTTCTATGCCTTTACCTGTCTCTTCACCATCTGGAATACCTGTTATGTGGCTTTTTGACCATTTAATGGTGTCTAAGAGTTCTCATATGTTGTCCAGATTTCTAATGGTTATTCTTTTCAGTTGTTTGGACTAAATCGGAAGGTTTGTCTTCAAGATCAGAAATTCTTTCTTCTGCGTGGTCTAATCTGCAGTTGGTACTTTCAAGGAAGGTTTTGATTTTCTGCATCATATTCTTTATCTCCAGAAATCCTGTTTGGTTTCTTTCAATATGTCCCTTTATGGAGTTCCTCCTTCAAGTCATGGAAGGATTTTTCTCATCTCCTGGAATTGGTTCTGTCTTCTCTTGCATACCATTGAGTAATATTCTTTATTCTTTTTCTGGCATTTCTGTGATCTCTTCAGTTTTATCCATTGTTGGTGAGAGGTTTTTTGGTTTTTTTTTTCCTCTTCTCTTTCCTTTTGGAATCAGTTTGTTTTGGTTTTTGTTTGTTTTTTGCTTTTTAAAAAATTTATTAACTTCTATACAGTGTACAACAAAGTTTTTGCCAGCATTAATACAGTCCTGTACATCTGTACAAAGCATTAATACAGTGCATATTAGTCAATGATGAAGATTTATGATCTTTTAAGGGGGAAATATTTCCTGCTATTACTTGGTGCTCTGCTTTGATTTTTAGTCATCTAGTAGTATAGTCACTTCTTCCTGTTTCTTTGGCGTATGTTTCCATAGCTGTGTGCTCCTGTACTTCTCTGTGATATGTGTAAGCTCTGTGATAATTTTCCTTCTCTACTGTAGATGGGAGTGTGGAATCCACAGTAACCGTTTAGAGTTCAGATTTTCAGAGGGGAATTTCTCTGCTTTTACTGCTAAGAGAATTATGGGGAAGAATTCCTCCAGAGTCTCCTATTTTCTTTCTTTTTTTTTTTTTTAAACTTTTTAATTATTTTTTAGAATTGTTTTATTTAACTTTACTTATTTATTTATTTTAATTTAATCAGAGAGGGACAGAGTGTGAGAGGCCAAGTGAGAGAAGGAAAGTAAGAAAGCAAGCCAACAAGTCCGGGATGCAAACTGCAGTCAGCCATGTGGGAGTCTAGCACTTCGAACCACCACACCACCTGCCAGCCCCAGAGTCTCGTATTTTCAAGCATTTGATCTTGTACACCCAAACCTAACTGCTCCCAGTGAGCTGACAGGTGGAATGTAAGGTGGGAGACTACATTTTTAGGTGCACTTGCAGATGCTCTGGCCAAAGAGCCTCTCTTCTCCAACACCAGGGGTCCCTGCCGATGAGCTCAAGCTGAGCTAGCCACTTGGCTTGAGCCTGCCTGTTAGTCCTCCTATATCTGAGATGTCAGGGAATTCCCAATATTTCTTCCCTTTTTTGAGAGATTTTTGCTATAGACTGTGTATGCTTGCTGGAGAGACAGCAATAGAGGGGAACAAAGCAAGAAATCACCCCCCGCCCCAGAGTGGGGGGGTTGTCCACGCTGCAGTCCCTTCTCTTCCATTCTCCTCTTGGGATCTTCGCACACATGCACACATGCCCAGTGTGAGTTTTAAGCCACTGGGTCCAGGATCGAACCATGATCAACTACATGGGGGACAGGCAACATAACCATTATGCCATCTGCTTGTCCCAAATTCTCAATATTTCTAATGTTTTGGGACCAGCAGTTAGCATAATGGCTATGTCGCTGAACTTCCATCTAGCCGACCACAGTTTGAGTCCCAGACCCAGTGGCTTAAACTTACGCCGGGTGCATGTGCGTGTGTACCGAAGATCCCGAGAGGAGAATGGAGGAGAATGGATTGCGGCGTGTCCACCCCCCTGGGGGGATGATTTCTCGCTTTCTGTCTCTCTGTCTTTCTGGCGAGCACACGCACCCTATAGCAAAAACCTCTCAAAAAAAAAAAAGAGTATTTTTAATGTTTTAATTGCAATTTTACAGGTTTTTTTTAATCCCTATATGTTTGTAGTTAGCAGTAAAAGTATTTTTTACTGTTTTTTTTCAAATGTTTTTAAAGGGTACAGACATTTGTAATTTTTTTCATTTTAAAAATGGTTTGTGTGGTTTTTGCTTGAATGGTCATTTTACAGTCCTGTACATCTGTACAAAGCAAGGAGTGCCTGCATATATCTTTCGCTCTCAGGTAATCAGCTATACCCCTCACATTCTTGACTCGAAGGTGATTTAGGCACTCATGCACATGCACCTGGCATGAGTTTAAGCCACCAGGTCTGGGACTCAAACCACGGTCGACTATATGGGAGTCCAGCAACATGGCCATAATGCCAACTTCTGGTCCCGGTCAGGGTAGAACTTCTGCACCACAGAGCTTGGGGTGGGATGGGAACAACTTCTGGCCAAAATGCCATAGTCTTTCTGTTTTACTCAATAGACTCAGTAGATTTTTTTAAATAAATGCTTCTCCATGATGCATGTGGTCAATTTCCAGTGGTTATTTTTGATAGCTCTGTCCAGCCTATTTGTTGCTTCTGGTGGAGAAGGCTTACCAGGCTCCTCACCCAGCTGTTCTAGAAGTTCTACCCATCCTGCTGTATTTTCTTTATTGGGCTTCCCTGGATCCAAGATTTTATAACTTTTCTTTTCAAACTTCGCACATCCTTTTCATCTTTTCTTCACACTTTTTTTTTTTTTTTTTAAATTTTGCTAGAGGATGCTTGTGCATGAGAGAAAAAGTGAGAAAGCACTTCCCCTGGGCTATGGTCACAATATATTTCCTACTCCTTTGTTTCTCCCTCCTTTCAGAGTTTTGGACACACATGTACACACACCTGGTGTGTTTTTCAGCCTGCCTGGTCTGGGACTCCCAAGTGTACCAGGGACTATATGGGATCCAGCTGCCTTAACCACCACACCACTGCCTGGTCCCCTGTTCTCACTCTTAACTGATGCCTATTATACTGGAGGAGAGAATCCTTCCTATCAAAGACCATTTCCTCCAGTTCTGTTCTGAATCCCATCTTTACTTTGCTTCTCATCTATCTCCTGTCTTCCATTTTTTTTTCCTAACTAGCTCTTTCTCATCGGGACAGAAATGTCCTGCTTGACCCCAAAACTTTTCCCAGTCACTGTCCCATTTGTCTGCTCGCTATTCACACTCAGCTTTTTAAAACTCTGTACTGATACTCTTCTCGGTGCATTATTTCCCTTTTATACTTTCTCGTTGGGTAGCTTCTGACCCAGTTACCTCATGGAGATGGCTCTGGCTCTTGTTGAGGTTCAGGTGGTATCTGTGAAATATAACTGAATAAATTATCATCTTAATTGACCTCTTAGCAATATTTGGCACTTTCCCTCTCCTTCCTAGAAATACTTCCTCTCCTGTCGTCTTGATGATAATCTCTTCTAGTTTTTTTTTGTCTCCAAGTTTACTGTTTACTCGTTCATAGTCTTCTTTCTTTATCCTTCATTTTCTACCAGATCCATGAATCTTGGTTTCTTCAAATTCAGATGTGAGATATTTATTTTCCCCAACACCTTCCCTCTATTCCCCCAGTCCTGGCATTTTAGTAAGTGGCACCTTCATCCTTATGCCTACTCAACCCAGAAACCAAGGGATTGTTCTCACTCCTTTGTACTTTAAGTCTACCAGCATATCTATGCATGCTTTCTCCAAAATATACCTTCTGCTCTATCTTTTCAGCTCTATCACCAACACATGTGCCCAGGCTGCCAACTCTTGCCTGACGTCTTCATTTCCAGTCTTGCCATTTGGGCTTTCATAAGAGAGTAGTTGCAGTGATATTCTTAAAATCCAAATCTTAATACCTGTCCTCCACCTACAACTCAAGAGTGGCATTCCATTGCATGCTTTACCCCGGCCTAGAAGACCCTGCTTGATCCGTCACTTGATCTTCTCTTTAGTCTTTCTTCCGGGACTTACACTCTTACCTAGCAGGCTTCTGTCAGCCTGCTTTTTCTATACCAAACTCTTTCTCATATTTGAACCTTTTATGTGTTATCTCTACTGCCAAAATTTTTTTTACTTATCTCTTGCTACAAGATTTCCTTCTTGTCCTTTAGGTCTCATGTAAATTTCACTTTTCAGAGAGGTCTTCCATAAACAGCTTATCTCAGTTCTTCTTGTTCTCCATCTGAATTCTTTGTTTTTTAATGTAACAAAATTTGTATTTAGTTTTCTGTTATTTGCCTATCTTTTCCATTGAAATGTAAATTTTATGGGGGAAATGGCTTATTCATCTTACGAATTCTTAGATCAAGTACACTTTTTGGCACATAGTGGCTGCTTACTTGATTTTTTCTTGAACAAATGAATAAGTAAGGGAATTGTTTAAAGTGATGTCAAATGCATAAATGATAAACCTAATTACTTACTTTCTTTTAATGCATAGCTGCAAATAGGATGAATTGTTACTCTAAAACAATATATTTCACTATGGCTAAATCAGATATTTGAATGACAAATTCCTTAACTTTTTGGTTTTAGCCTTTTCTACCCCCTTCCCAAAGTAGAGCAGAATATGATTCAGAGGAGAGTCTGGAAAGTGATGGAGATGACGAGGAGGAGGAGGATGTTTTAGCTTCAGATTTCCATCTCCAGGAACATTCTAATTCAAATTCATATAGGTATGGCTTATTTCATTTTAAGTTTCTTTTTTAAAATTATCATGGCTTGTATAAATAATATTTTTGATAATACATGTGAAATTAACAGTGTGGTGAATTATAACATGTAATTCAGATTTATTTAGTTAAAATGGTTAAATTACTTTTTAACCAATAATTTCGCAGTTGACTTTGAGTCTTCCTGAGTGGGTTATCTACTTCACTCAGATTATACCTTGCCTTTTTCTTTCTTTCTTTTTTTTTTTTTTTCCTTTTTTATTAGTTTTGTTATGGAGTATGTGTACTTGCTGGTGAGAGATTGAAAAAGAAATCGTCCTCTGGGGGGATGGCCACACTACAGTCTCTTCTCTTCCATTCTCCTCTCAGGATTTTGGGCATGTATGTACACATGCCCTGTGTGATTTTTTTTTTTTTTTTTTTTTTTATTATTATCATAATCTTCTTTATATTACATTGGATTACATATAACTTTACATTGACTTCCATTGCTTTTTCAAAAGGGAATGCCATGCATGTCAGTCAATACAGAGGCATCGATCTCCCCGCTTTATCATTCAAAGTCTTTTCCATGCATTTCCCAATAATTATTATTATTATAATTTTTTAAAACAGTCAATCACTATTTCTCATTTTGCTTGTTAAAAGACTTCACCCATCATGAAATACTTCCCAGACCAGTCCAGTTGAGAATACTATACACGTCATCTTCAACAGATAATAAACCATATCTGTTTCTCACTAACATCCCCTCTATTGTTCACTTGCTATCTTTCTCTATCCTCTTCTCTTTTTTTTTT